ACATAGTTTAGCCCTAGGAGTGAGTATTGTTACGATGAAAAATAATTTTGTTGAAAAAATTTCTATGTAAAAAAATTTAACAAAAAAATTATACGTAGCACAAAAAAATATTACGATGAGAAATTTCCTTATTTTTAAATTTACTCAGTAAAAAAATTATTTTCGTTAAAAATAATTAAATAACGAATTATTAAGTATGACATTATGTTATTAATTTATGAAATTAATTATTTATTAAGTTAATTATTTGTCATATTTAAAATAAAATAAGATATCTAATAAAATCAAAATTTTCAAATGTTCCCGCGCTGCGCTGATGGCTCTGCTCTGGACTTTAGTTCGCTCAACGCCACAGGGAGGGCGAACATCATAACTGTTTCTCGCAGTTGAGGTGCCATTAGATTTGTATATAAGCAGTGATCGAAAATTTTTTTCTTGTCGAAATTTTTTTTCTGCCTGATGTCTCTCCTATTTATTTGATTTGAGACAAATTCTTTTTTGGAAGAATTAGTTTCACTAATACTTTGATGACCATTTTTTTATTTTAATTTAATTATTAATTTTTCCCATTGGGTTTTTAAATTCATTTACTTTCTTTTTATTTTTCCGTATTTATGCTCCTTCTAAATTTCCAGAATATTTAACGATTACATTTAACAAATCTTGAATTTTTAATTTCCTTAAATATCCCTTAACAATATGCCAAAAATCTTTAATTTTAATATTTAACAGAAATTCAAATCCAATATTTAGCCAATCTCTGTGACTGACCTTTATTATGCGCGGACATTTAAACGTCAACTCAACCTCGTTTGGACCTCGCGACTCAAGTTCCCGAACCTCGTCAAGCGAGGTTCAGTCAAGGTTCAGGGAAGTTTCGGTGCTGTCCGGGAAGTTACAAGTCTTCAAAAATTCACTGTTTAAATTTTTTACAAAAATTCAACCCTTTCCCTCTCCGACAGTTCTTGAAAAAACCTAACAATACTTTGTGGTTAAAGTATTCACCCCTAGGGCTAAATATTTGCAAGTTACAGCCCGATACGATCAACTTTTTTTTTACTTAGTACGCTATAGGAGTTTTACCCCATATATAAAATTTAAAAATTAGTTAAGTTTTTATTCTGTATAGATTAATATTATTCAGATTCATTCTTTAAAAAATGAATGTAATAGAATACTCAATTAAAAATATATTCTCATCTCTATAAGACTATTGTTTATTTAATCAAAGTCACAATTATGTATAATATAAATAATTAATATTTTTTTAACACAGTAATGAGCATAGTCTAATTACAAATGGAAACTATTATACTGACATACTGCTCTTAATAACAATTGGCTAAAGTCCAGATTATTATGTGCAACTTTGTTTTTTCCCAAAAATATTTGAAATCAAAATGTACTGATTTCATAGCATGAATTACCTTTGAATGCCGGAGAACCATGAGCGATTTCACGTTGTGCGGAGCACGCTTCTGCCCAAGATAATGACTCTGATTCACGTTCTATCATCAAATGAGTGAAAAGGGTATTGACTACACCGATTAGAAGATGTAGTTCTGGCGATGGAATAATTTCCAAAAATGGCTTATCTACATCGTAATTGGAAATTAACGGTGGGTGAATACAATTGTAGAAATTTTCCGCTTTGTCTTTCGAAGCTCCTGCAGCACGTCATACGTTGTAGTTTCCCATTACATTTGCGAAAGTTCTCAGATTTTCATAAACGTTTAGTACATGCAGCTCATTGTTTAATAATCCCGAAACTTTCTAACAATTTTTGGAAATCTCCTGCAGTAAATTGTGTTTCGTTGTCCGTTATAAGAACGCGTGGGGTTCCGTAACGTAGTAGAATTCTTTTTTTAAACGCTTTTATTAGCGGTTGAGTTTTCTGTTCTCGTAAAGGACAAAATTCAACCCATTTAGTGAATTTATCATGCATCACTAGAAAATATCAATGACCTTTAGACGATCGAACTAATGGACCGATAATATCCATCGTTACGTATTCCCATGGATGCGCCGCGTTACACGTACCCATTTTTCCGGCTACGGCGTTTTGCGAACTTTTGAATTTTTGGAAAGAACCACATTGCCTAACATATTTCGCGATTTCTCCGTTCATTCCGGGATAATAATAGTTTTCGGCGATTCGAACGATTCCTAAGTGTCCTGCTGTTGGAGCGTCGTGATTTTCCTTCAGGACTTTTTCACGTAACGGTTGAGGAACGCACAACTTCCATGTTTTATCTCTATCAGATAGTCCGTCATTACAGTGAATGAATATCTTTCAAGGTAATATCGCATTTTTTATATTCCCCATACGACTGATAAATATTGCTTTTCAGTTACAGAGTAATTTAACTCAACTTTGTTTAGCGTCCTACTCGCGTACGCGATGATGTCTTCTTTACCATCGATAATTTGGATTAAAACTGCGCATAAACTGTATTTGCTTGCATCGATTTGTAAACAAAAGGGAACAGAAAAATCGGGAACCTCGAGAACTGGTACAGTCGATAATCGTTTCTTTAAAGTTTCAAACGCATCGTTCCGTTCCTTTGTCCACACCCACTTTTGCTTCTTTTGAAACAGAGTCGATAGTCTACTACGAGACCGAGATATACAACGCGCGTTTTAAAGAATTCGAATTTCTCAGGGTTTACTTTTAAATTCGCTTCTAGCAATCGCTTCAATACACGTCTTACGTTACGTAAATGTTCACTAACCGTATTCCCTAGTATAATGACGTCATTGAGATATACTAACGCTGATACTGCTAATTCCGGACCAAGTACTTTTTCTACCGTCCTTCGGAAAGTAGCGGAAGCCGAGTGTAATCCAAATGGCATAACTTTGTATTGAAATAAACCTCGGCCTGCTATTACGAAAGCAGTAATCGGACGACTTTCTTTTGCTAGTGGTGTTCCGTTGAGAGTTAAAATAAGAAAAATAAAATTTAGAATAGCTTATTCTTAATCTTTTTCTAAAGGTAAAAAAAATAAAGTTGTAAATATTATCGCAAGAAAAACATCAGCATCTGCAACAATTGTAAAACTTTATATTGAGCCATAAGATATAATCCCAAATTTGTAAAAACTTATTTTGGAACATCTTGCATTTTATAACTTTAATCCTCTCATTGTTAAGATAGGTCTGTTGAAATTATTTCGAAGATAAGAGTACACTAATAAAACTAAATACCTAACCCCTCCACTTGCACCTCCACCATTACCTGGGTCCAAAAAACCTACAAAATATACCTGTACTAAACACCATGTTACCAACACATTTTGACCACTGTACACAAGCTACCAATGTAATCTTTGACTACGAAGACATGACACTTGCCATAATCGTCAGAACCATTTCTGCTCTCGCTTGAGTAGGATCAAGCAATTACTCTTTTCACAAATATTAATTCATCGGTGTACTCAATTTTTACTAACATTCAAATAAATAAATAAATTGTATTTTTTTAAATTATACATGTACATTGTCTCACTTCATTTAAACAGCCAAGCAATTTTCTATGAAATGTTTCTTTGCATGAACATTTTTTGGTCCTTCGAGCCGGATACTTGTTGCGCCGTGGTACATTAAAACTCATGGGTAAAAGTGTTTGATCATTTATCAATTATTAGTGCGCTGTTTCGGATTCAAATAGTGTACTCAACTAATAATAAATACAATTCAATAAACTGAAAGATAAAGTAAAAACTCTAAAAGGCTGTAAAGATATGTACATCAAATTGGTTGTGGTTTTCTAAGTGAAGTGCACAGTATACATTTAAGTTGAACAATAAACAATGACATGACACAATTTAACAGTGAAAGGTGCATCTTTGAACATTGCTACAATTAACGTGCCAAAACTAGCGACACAACAGGCGAAGTGAATATCAACTCAACGTGATTCAGCTGAAGAATCACGTCCAATTCAACAACAAGGAAGGAAGTCCAAGGTTTGGCAATTTCAAGGAATTGTCGTCCTATTAGCCGCCAGACTCCATCAAACGTGAAATTCATCGTCATACAGATTCATCAACGAGTAAGTCAAGGCACCAAGTCCTTTCAATTTTCTTTTCTTTTCCTAGTTTTTCTACCGCATAGACAGTTATTGTCGAAGTCAATATGGCAGAAGAAATTAAAGAATTAAATGTCAAACGTGGTGCTTTAAAACGGTCACTTACCATTACCGAAACCGCGCTAGATAGAATTAACGATTCGACCAATCTTGCTTCTCTAGATCCTGTCGGAAGATTGCAAAGGGTGGTAGACAATTGGAAAAAATTTTAAGATATTCAATCGCGTCTAGAAATCCTTTCTTGCGACAGTGAAGCAGATTTAAATACTAATTACAATGAAAGAGAGATTTTTGAAACTAGACATTTTAGCATAACAGGTAGATTAAAGGGAATAATTAGCAATTTACCTGGGGAAAGCACTCCAGAAAAAAATTCTCCGTCACCATCAAATTCAAATTTTTCAAATGATAGAAATGTAGATATTTCAACAAATATTAAATTACTAATAATAAATTTGCCTACATTTTCTGGCAGTTACGATACGTTGATAGGTTTCTCAGACATTTTTAAATCGATTACTATTCATGAGAATGATATAATTCCTGCTATTCAAAAATTGCATTACTTAAAGTCAAGTTTAAAGGACGAAGCAAGCACAATAATTGATTCACTAGAAACTTCCGCTCAAAATTATCAGGTTGCATGAGATTTACTTGAAGAACGTTATAATAATCATCGCTTCATAGTTGAAAGTCACACGAAAGCTCTTCTTGAACTCCCGCATGTATCAAAGGATTTTTCTATGCGTGCCTTATTAGATTATATTCAGAAACATTTTCTCGCATTAAAAGCACTAATGGTTCCTGTTGAACATTGGGATACAATGCTAATTTCATTAATTAAAAGCAAACAATAAAGGTGAATTAAATAAGACAAATTCTAAATATTCTAAAAAACAAAATACACAACATGCATACATTTCTACACAAGGTAAACCAATTTGTTTTTTGTGCAAGAGTGAACATCCAACTTATAGTTGCCCGCAATTCTTGAAACTATCTATAAATTGAATACAGTAACATATGGTACAGCATCAGCACCATATCTTGCTACACGTGTTTTATCTCAATTAGCTTCCGTTGAAGAAAAATCATTTCCGGTAGCTTCGCAAATTTTAAAGCGTGATTTTTATGTCGATGACGTTTTAACGGGTGCAAAAACCTACGAACAGTCTTTAGCATTACGCGATGAACTAATTGATCTTCTTCACAAGGGTGGATTTACCTTACGTAAGTGGGCCTCAAATGATCCACGCCTAGTAAACAATATTGACAATAAATCAAATGATTCTCTTATTTCACTGAAATCAGTTGAAATAATAAAAACTTTAGGTATGTCTTGGCTTTCAGGACAGGACCAATACATCTAGTTACCTTACCCAGGTTAGAGTTATGCGCAGCTTTATTATTTGCACGCTTATTTAATGTTACAAAACAAGCCCTGAATCACCTTGAAATTCAACAACAATATTTTTGGTCAGATTCGACAATTGCTGTCTGCTGGATAAAAACTCCGCCTTGTAATTTAAAAACTTTTGTTGCTAATCGAGTAGGTGAAATACTTGAAGTAACAAAACCCCAAGAATGGAAGCATGTGCCCACTGAGGATAATCCTGCGGATTTACCTTCTCGCGGTAGGATGCCACAATGGCTAAGGCATGACCAAGACAGTTGGCCTAAAACAGAATTGAAACCTATTACCGTTCCTGAGACACGTAAGAATGATGATTGTAAGATATTTACAATAACAACCAATAACACACATAATGACACAAATTTTCTCACGCGCTTTTCATCAATGTCAACCCTAATTCGTGTAATAGCTTATTGTTATGGATTTTGTCACAATTCAAGGGTAAACAATTCCAAGAAATTCACTGGTCAACTCTCGCATGCCGAAGATGGAAAAGCTCACAATGCTGTAATTAAACTAGTTCAATTTAGCGAATTTTCTGAAGAAATTCATCAATTATCTAAAGAAAAACCAATTTGTAAAAAAAGTAAACTTTTAAATCTAAATCCCTTCTTAAAAAAAGGTATACTTAAAGTTGGTGGACGACTAGTAAACTCAAATCTCGATATAAATCAAAAACATCCGATAGTACTTCCACGCAATCATTTTATTACTTCTTTGATAATTCTCGAACATCAGAAAAAATTAAAACATGCAGGAATTCAATCCACACTCTATTCAGTGCGCGAATTATATTGGCCTTTAGACGGAAGAAATATTACTAGAAAATTAATTCGTAAATGTGTAGATTGCTTTCGTGCTAATCCTCGCAGTTTTGATTGCATAATGGGAAACCTACCCGCAGATCGAACAAATTATTCACGAGCATTTTCTGTTGTTGGAGTAGATTACTGTGGCCCTTTTTTTGTTATAGAAAAAAGGTACCGCAATACAAAAAAATTAAAATCATAAGTAGCAGTTTTTATTTGTTTTGTAACTCGCGCAGTACACCTTGAACTAGTGAGTGATCTCACCACGGAGGCATTTATCGGGTGCTTAAAAAAGGTATTTGCAAGACGAAGGAAAGCTAACAAAATTTATTCTGATAATGGAACAAACTTTGTTGGCGCAAATAAACAGTTAAAAGAACTAGAGCAGTTATTCAATTCAACAAGTCATAAACAAAAGGTAACTCAATTTCTAGATAGCGAAAGAATTACTTGGAAATTTAGCCTTCCAAGAGCACCTCATTTTGTCGGGTTATGGGAAGCGGCGGTCAAATCGTTCAAGCACCCTTTTATACGCACCGTAGGTAATGCCGTATTTACATTCGAACAATTACAAGTTTATGTCTGTGAAATCGAAGCCATTTTGAATTCCCGCCCTCTCACTCCAGTTTCTTCCGATCCTATTGACCTACGCCCTCTTACACCTGGTCATTTCCTCATTAGTAGCCCCTTGACAGGATTACCTGAAGAAGATCTTAATGATGTCAAGCCAGGCCGATTATCTCTCTGGGAACACGCCCAGCAAATGAAACAGCACTTTTGGCGTCGTTGGCAAAAGAGTATTTGAATGAATTAATTACTCGCAACAAATGGAAATCTAGATCTTCAAACATCGCTGTTGGTACTCTAGTAGTTTTACGAGCAGACAGTTTTCCTCTCATGCAATGGAGCTTGGGACGCATCAATGACACTCATTCTGGGTCAGATGGAATCATTAGGGTTGTCACCGTAAAAACGAAAAATGGAAGCTATAAACGAGCAATTAGAAGTTTCTATCCACTTCCAATAGAACATTAAAATTGAATTGTTATTAAAAAACGAAAATTATTAATATTGCACATCATAAATACCTCGCTTTATACTTAATAATTTTTAAACACTAAATTGCTTTTATAAATACTCTAAACTGGGTGTGTCCATACCTAAAAAATCAAAGTTGTCCCCTGGTTCTCCGATTTTTATGAAACTCAGTGAAACAGTAGAGAAATATATGCAAATAAGAAATCCAAAAGCGATTTTGAAAATTTTTGGATTTACAGGGGTTCAAAATTTTTTTTTTAAATTTCGATACGCTATATCTCCGAGAAAAATAAATGAATTTTCATGATTTATTCAGAGATTACGTATCATTTACTAACGTTTAAGAACAACTACTTCAATATTATCAATTGACATTTTAACAACTTCTTTTATTAAAGAGGTGGAAGAAACATTGATCTCCTCATGCCTTCTTTCTTCTACAGGAACATTTTTGCTTCTTGGATCGAGTCTGTCACCTGTCCCTTTGAAGATGGGACAGTTCAAAGCGAGTACAACTTTATTCAGCAAAAGTTTAAGACCAATTGTTTGACAACACTAAATGCTACTTTTATTAGAATAGTGTAAAAGAAAATGAGACGTGATTAAGATAAAAATAAAAAAATGGGACAGGATAGGTAATTCAGGAAGGTAAATACAATAAAATGATCTAGCTAAAAAAGAATAAATACATATATTGAAACCTCCTTATTTCCCGTTTACATTTTGGTTAATAATACTAACGGCGTTTATTATGCTGGGACACATACCCATTTAGTCGCTTAATCTGATGGTGGTGACAGCGTGTGGTACAACTTGCGAGTACCGGCCGGGATACTGGTCGGATGTACGGCAAGTCGAGTAGAGAGGGAATCGTACGTTCCCAGTTTGCCAGGTCCCCAACTGGGACAATTTCATTGGTCGAAATGGTACACTTGGACATCTGGGCCGGCTCCGATGAAGATGACCGGGGAATAGGAGATCGGCAAAAGATCTCGAAAACGTCGTCGTCACTGTCGTCGTGTATGACAATAGGTGTCCCTACTCGGGGAGGTGGGACATGTGGACCAGCTGCTGGTGAGTTTGGCAGAACCAGTGGGACAGCCAAAGTCTCGACCCTGATGATCCTTGGGACGCCCGTAGTGGGAGGTGTCCCGGTACTGGTCGGATATTCGGACACCGTAGATCACGGTAAATAATAATAAATGAAAAATTAATAAAAAAAGAAAGTGTTGCAGCGGTAATTATTTTGAATAAAATAAAAGCGTTATTTCAGAACGCTATATGTGAAACGTACAAGGTGGTTAGCACTTGGTAGGAACAGGGTAAAGGTACTTACTGCGAAAAATGAAGAAGGCACTGTATATAGAAACTGACACTTTATTTTCACAATAAGAATTTTCCGTAAAAGTGGAGGCGGAAGAATGACTCCCGACAGGCCCGCTTCGACCCTTCTTATACTCTTCGAAGGGTTATAAAAAATCTGGCCCTGGGAAGGGGCAGTTTTTTTTATAACGTAAAGCGAAAATAAGCCAGGAATGAAGGTTGGCAGTCAAAAATACAAAAAAAACCTTAAAATTACAAAGTTATAATTAATTTTAAATAAAAGAACGAATAGTATGTCAAAAAATAGCAATTATTGATAAACCTTAATTTTTCTAATATAAACTGGATTAATACTTTTTATATGTACGTATATATATGTACATCGCATACTTTAGGGACTTTTCATTTATACAAAGCATACTTTAGGGATTTTTTGTTACTTTCGGGACGGCCCGAAAGTATCTACGACTCCAAAGCATAGTTTGGGGACTATTCATCGGTTTTACGTAAGAAGCATAGTTTTGGGACTTTTCTAGATTTGGCGTGTCTAACAGATGGCGGGTCGAAGTCAATTTCGAAGAAGATTTTGATTTGGACTGAAAGTCCCCAAAAAATGCCTTGAGCATATTAAAGTCGAATTAAAGTCATTAACAGAAAGCACATACTCCATGTTAATTACCCGTGAGCAATAACAAACTATCATACCCACGCATGCGCAATAGTGTTATATGACTCAAACATCTGCGCAGTAAATTCCTAAGGTATTAAAACATGCGCAGTAATGTAATATAACCCCAACCTATGCGCAGTAATATCATAAGGCTTTAAAACATGCGCAGTAGTGTTTTATAAAACCTATCTCTGCGCAACAAATTCCTAAGGTATTAAAACATGCGCAGAAATGTAAAATGTTATCTACATATCAACCGTGACGTTTTCAAATAATAAAAAATGCCCACATATGTAATATAATCCCAACTTATGCGCAGTAATGTCATAAAGAATTAAAACATGCGCAATTGTGTTTTATGAAACCTACCTCTGCGCAATAAATTCCTAAGGTATTAAAACATGCGCACTAATGTAATATAACCCCAACCTATGCGCAGTAATATCATAAGGCTTTAAAACATGCGCAGTAATGTAATATAACCCCAACCTATGCGCAGTAATATCATAAGGCTTTAAAACATGCGCAGTAGTGTTTTATGAAACCTATCTCTGCGCAACAAATTCCTAAGGTATTAAAACATGCGCAGAAATGTAAAATGTTATATACATATCAACCGTGACGTTTTCAAATAATAAAAAATGCTCACATATGTAATATAATCCCAACTTATGCGCAGTAATGTCATAAAGAATTAAAACATGCGCAATTGTGTTTTATGAAACCTACCCCTGCGCAATAAATTCCTAAGGTATTAAAACATGCGCACTAATGTAATGTAACCCCAACCTATGCGCAGTAATATCATAAGGCTTTAAAACATGCGCAGTAATGTAATATAATCCCAACTTATGCGCAGTAATGTCATAAAGAATAAAAACATGCGCAATAGTGTTTTATAAAACCTACCTCTGCGCAATAAATTCCAAAGGTATTAAAACATGCGTAGTAATGTAGAATGTTATATACATATCGACCGTGACGTTTTTGAAATAATAAAACATGCGCACATATGTAATATAATCCCAACCTTTGCGCTGTAATGTTGTAAGACATTAAAACATGCGCAGTAGTGTTTTATGAAACCTACCTCTGCGCACTAAATTCCTAAGGTATTAAAACATGCACAGTAATGTAAAATGTTATCTACATATAGACCGTGACGTTTTAAAATAATAAAACATACGCATTTATCGAACATATTCCTAACATGCGCGTAAACATGTGAGCGCGTAAAATTCGCAACCTTTTTTTTTAAATTTACGGTTTAATTAAAGCAACCATTATAATTATATTAACATTCGAATCAAGAAATGAAGAAAGTAATCTTAACTTCAGTGTTTAGAATCACTTGACGCTTTGATTCTCAGCTCAACGAATATTTTGAGGACTATATTAATTTAGATTACACTAATTTCACGTACATCATAATTGTCAAAAATTTCATTTATAATTTAATCTTGTTAGCATCAACAATGTCATGGTTAACATTTAAATTAGTAAATAATTACAAATCGTTCTAAATTACCAAACTCAACTCTATAATGTGTTAAAAAAGAACTAAATATTTACCACGACAAGAATCTAATAAATAATTATTTCAGTTTTTTAAGGGAATTTCTATAAATTGATGAGTGAACTACTGCAGTTTTCTTACTATTATATATATCTAGATATAATTTTCAGGAAATATAAAAATGCTGCAACTGCAAATGATTAATATTCGTAATGAATGTTAATTTATACTAATAAATGAAAAAGTAAATGTCAAATTAGATCTTATTTATGCAAATTACACGATAAAATCATCAGCTAGTTGTTTTTAAAGAATCAAGTTTTAGTAAATCATAGTTAATAAAACAATATACATTAAACGTAAGATTCATCAAAGGATTCTAGAATAGACATTAATTATTCTGATTATTAATCCATAAAATTTTCATGAGTTGAATAAATTAACATCACCTTAGACATATTCAAACAGCAGAAAACAACGGAAGACCAAAATATCTCTTTTTTAAGTGGAGTCTTTAGTTAAATTATGCATGCGATACAAAGCACATTTTTAGGACTATATTACTACAGACTTGTGAGCGCGTAAAATTTGGAACTTTTTTTTTTTAATTTACGGTTTAATTAAACAACCATTATAATTATATTAGCATTCGAATCAAGAAATGAAGAATGTAATCTTAACTTCAGTGTTTAGAATCACTTGACGCTTTGATTTTCAGCTCAACGAATATTTTAAGGACTATATTAATTTAGATTACACTAATTTCACGTACATCATAATTCTCAAAAATTTCATTTATAATTTAATCTTGTTGGCATGAACAATGTCATGATTAACATTTACATTAGTAAATAATTACAACTCGTTCTAAGTTACCAGACTCAACTCTATAATGTTTTAAAATGAAGTAAATATTTACCTCGATAAGAATCGAATAAAAAATTATTTCAGTTTTTTAAGGGTATTTCTATAAACTGATGAGTGAACTACTGTAGTCTTCTTAATATTATATATATCTAGATTTAATTTTCAGCAAATATAAAAATTCTGCTACTTCAAATGATTAATATTCGTAATGAATGTTAAGAGGGGAACACCAGTTGTAACTTTCGAAAAATCGATTTTTTTTGTGCATTTTCTTAAAGTATACATATTTAGAAATGTGTCTGTAAATTTCAAAGTTGATCCGGTGAAAAATAAATGAGATATACAGAACACTGCAGCGGCGCGTCCCGTGGCTTCATACAAGGTGGCCAGC